AGCTAATTTTACTGGGTTTAAGACTTTTGGGACTCACCAACCAAATACCCAATCTCATAAATGATATAAAATGCGCCATGCATGATTGAGAAAGGCAAAAGGAGAGCATTCGTCTCTCGTCGTTCCATCGCCGCGAAACGGATGGTCACATCGAAACTGCGATCTCTCCTCAAAAATTGTTTTATTCTCGTGATTATGAAAATTCTATCTTGACATTACGTCATTGTTTACACCAAAACAATACTTTATTCACTAACTTTGGATGACTGATTCCTTTATGATACGAGAAGATCATGATCCCAATGCTGAACAAGTCAAAAGCGATGAAAATTTGCATCCAAAGTGTTGCCCACGGATTTGTCCATCTGAAATTATGATAATATTATGTTTTCATTTGTTTTCATTCTTTTCAAGTTCCATTTACTCACTTGTTTCCAATGGTACAATATGGAACCCATCCACTCGAATCCCAATGTTCAAATGACATTATGTAACCGAAAATCGTCAACGATACAGTAAACTGAAATTTATAAGATAATTCACAATGAATATTTTGTATTTTTTCTTTGTTTAAAAGTGATTAATCAACTTTTGTGACTGAATTTTTTGATTGAATGGACTGAGAACGTGGTTTGCCTGGGTCCAAGTTTCACTTAGTGGTGGATAAGAGCCTTGTTTCCAAAACAATCTTCCATACTTTTGCTCAGGTTCGATCCCTTCCTTTTCTTTTCATTTTATTTTAATGCTAAACCGCTCGAATTGGCTCTATTTTGACTTTACGTTAAGTTTTATGACAGATCTTTTAACATAACAATTAACAAATTGATAACAAACAAAATAAAAAAAAGAAGTTAAAAAGTTTTGCGAATGTGTTGGTTTTAAAATTTTTGAACAAACTCTAGTCTCTAGTTTCTTTGAAATGATTTAAAAGGCACTAATTGCTTTTTTCTCTTGCTTTCAGTCTTTAAATCCTTAGAATAATGAAAAAACACATCATCGCGAAGAAATCGACTTTTTCAAGAATACAAGAAAAAATATATTGTTAAGAATTGATCAATTAATTATGAATCTCTCATTTCGTTTATGGGAAACAAGAAAAGTTAGTTAAAAGAACGACTAAATCGATAAAAATAGATGAATTGACTGTCTTTTCTCTCTTTTAAAAGAAGTTTCTGTAACAAATAAGAGATTTGTAGTAACTTTTGACAAGAAAAGTCTCCAGAAAGCACGCAAAACTGAAATTTTTTCTTAAGTCTTTTCTTGAATTTTTCTTGAATGAGTTTTTTAAAAAAGATTAAAATCGAAAGTTTGTTCCGGGAAATGAGAAATCGGTTTGTTTTTAACTATTTTCAATAAAATGGGTAAATGGGTAATAAAATGGTTTCCATCATTTTTTTTCAAAAGAAACATTCATGAGCGTCATGAGAAATTGAGAAATGAGAAAAGAATTGAGTGGCGCTTCTTGAAAGACGACAACATCCTTCGCTTGCTTTAAAATCGGTATTTTTAAAGCATTTTGCAAGAGCAAGGGCCTTCTTACAAAGAATTTGACCGTTAATCGAGTATTTTGGCTGCACTGCTCCTTGAACCATGATGGTATTGCCTCTTCTAAAGTTTCGTCCTTCGCTACACGTGCTCTTTTGATTGTTGACGATGAAATCGAAGCTTCTTCTAATATTGTCTCAATTTGTGCCAAAATTGCATAAAAAGCGGTCTCTTTCAATCCGTACTTGGCTTGAATTTCATCATTCGTGTATTTTCCTTCTCGTTTATCGTCGATAAGTTGAGCCTTCTGTGCGAGAAAGAGAATGATTCGTTTGTTTGTCGCCATCTCTAAAATAAGACATTAATAAGACAAAATAAGACAAGCAAAAAAAGTATTGAAAGCAAAATCAGGAAGAAAGACTAAGAATAAGCAAATGTAAACTTTTAAATGCATATCTATACTTAATCACGATGTAAATCTAAAATATTACACGTAATATTGAAGAGCTTAGCAGTAAATTAGTCAATTTGATGACTGAATACCTTAACTACTCCATTATATAGAGAGGACCGTTATATAAGCTGCCACAAATTTTCCTTTCGTTATATGGAGTTTTCGTTATATAGAATTCCGCTAGATAGTTTTTTTTATACTTAGAATAGTGTAATGTCGGCCGGGACCAAAATTCCATTCTATTATTTAGAGTTTTCCGCTATATAGAGTTTTCCGCTATATAGAGCTCCGTTATATAGAGTTCTCCGCTATATAGAGTTCCGCTATATAGAGTTCCGCTATATAGAGTTCCGCTATATAGAGTTCCGTTATATAGAGCTCCGCTATATAGAGTTCCGTTATAGAGAGAGTCGATCGTATTTCAAAATCGTCCTATCATTGATATTTATTTTTGATATACATATAATTTTTGAAAACTGACAAATAAGACATAATGAATCATTTTCACGAAGAATTTATTTCGTATTTTGTCTCATTTTCAATACTGAAAGTTTTGATTGTGACTTAAAAATTCAACAAAATTCGGCAACTTTTCAGTAACCACTGAAATAAACAGTGTTTTAACAATTTTTAAAAAAAACGTTAATTTTTAAAAGTTTACTTCTTTAAATTTATTTCTAATCAATTTTCAATCAATTATTTATTTATGTTGCTATTTTGCTCATCATTTTAAAAAACATTGCAAATTGCAATAAATTCCTCGGAAAAGCGCGCTTAACGGGGGAGGAGGCTGAGTTTTTGGCCAACTTGCAGCTCATTTTTAAGCACCTTTAACTTCTCAAATCAGAAAGTCTTAATAAGATTTGGGTAGCTTAGAACGTCAACTTTTATAAACTATTTGTTTTATCAAAAGTTATTAACAAAAACCTATCTAAAATCGGGTTGCAAAATGGTCAAAACCGTAAAGATAACCGTAAAGATCCAAGGAGAGGATTTAAGGGGTTTTTTTAGTCACCTTTTAAAGCATTCAAGCTCGTTCTTCGTTTGGAATTGATTGATCAAAAGTGACTGAATATTTTCTTAAAATTTTTTGTAGCTCGAGAATTTTTTCCATATGGATCAAAGGTGGCTTTTCAGAAAATTCTGAGCAAATTTTTTTGACAGAATTTTAACAGTTAAATTTGTTTTGTTTTCAAGTTTATTGTTGGTTATTTTTTGAAATCTAACGGTTTTGTCTCAGTGTTTTTTGTGAAGTTTGAAAATTTGATCCTCTTTTTCCATTAATTGACTGACTGACTGACACTGGCTTCAAATCATGATTATTATTGAGAAAAAACGTGAAACGTTCACGAGTAATTGTTTTTCATTAAGAACTTTGACCTCTTTGACCACAACTATAAATCTTTCTTGAAATCTTTTTCTGAATTTGACCGAAATTTGCTGAACTTTTAGATTCATACTACATTCTAGATTCACTTGTTCATTTGATCAATTCATTTTCACAATTATTCTTTTGTTACCAAAAAAAAATCTAGATAACAGGTATCCTTTTGCGTGGGCGTGCCTCAAAATATGTTTTGTCTCAGGTCAAGTTGACCAACAAAGAACCATTAGCCAACACTTTACATGGACCTTTTGTAGAAAACGAGTCACTTCCACGTTTTAGCAAATAGCTCTTGTTTTCTAAAGCACAAAATAGCATTGTGTCGACGCTTTAGAAAACAAGAGCTATTTGCTGAAAACGTGAAAGTGATTCGTTTTTCTACAAAAATCCAATCAGTTATCACAAAGGATGATCTCCTCTAAAGTAGACTCTTCCACAAAGTCATAAAACAAAAACTTCAGTTTTCAATCCCGAGATTCTGCTCATTTTCAGTTTACCTTCAAAACTTTTGACCATTTCAAGCCACAGCATATTTTCTCTTTTGAATTAGGAGCATGATTTTAAACATCACCGCTGTTTTCCTTGCTGCTTGTTGTGTTTTCCTTGCTTTCCTTGTTGCGCTGTTGTGCTTTGAGTTTTCATGAACAAGCTTTCCATTCATGACATTTCCTTTATTTGGCTTTCTTTTTGCGATTCATATGCATAACTTTAGAAACTAGAAACTTTCTGCTAATAACAATTACACTAGGTGACACTTCGGCAACTTTGAGTACTTCTCTATTTGACAGTCAATGATTTTATGGACTCCAACAGGTGAGCTTTAGTTTTTACGTATTTTTTTTCGGCACTTATTGGTTATCTCACCCCTCAAAAAAGAAAACAATCGCTCAGTGGACTGAAAGTTTCCCCACCTACCTCCCCACCAATGCTCCGCTGAGGTTCGCTTCTGCAGTTAAATGCTAATTTGATTTCTATAAACTATACCATTGTTTTGTTTTTTTTATGCAAATTTTATTGTTAATGTTACCTATAAAGAGTTATGAACCCCAAAAATTTAAACTGTGATATGCGAATTGATAAATTAAAAGTTTTTGAGTGTGGAGGAGATAACCCATATACCTTTTGTTTTGTTGAAGTGTACTTTGTGTTGAGAAAAGTAACCCCTTTCCATTTCAAAATTCTTCTTTAGGCAAAGTGAGTGATTCTGTTGAAAAACCCCGAAAAAATCCTCTAATGACCCCATGGCGATCGATCTACATCGCCGCTTCGATTGCTTTCCTTCAATCCTTTCAATATTCGATGGTCGCCGCCTCTTTATGGAATTATTCTCGTAGTGTGGGTTTCAGTCTTTCGACTCCAATCAGTTTTCAAATTCTTAGTTTGCTTTTTAACCTATTTACCGATCACATGGCCATACCTCAGCAACGAATTGAGCTCTTCAATTATCCTATTTTTTAGCTAAATGCGAATCTCACTCAATCCACTTATGGGTGCATTGTCGGTGCCAACAGTTTCGCTCAAGCAATCTCCGCTCCACTTTTCGGGTATTGGAGTAATCGGATTGAAAGTGTAAAGGTGAATAATGCTGTGAATATGCTAGAAATTTCCCTCCAATTCCAGCTTCCACTCTTTATCGGACTCATCTTCATGACTGCAAGTAATTTTCTGTACTTTGCGATGCCAATGTTCAAGAATGATTCCTATTTGTGGCTGGTGTTGGCGAGGACGTTGACTGGCATAGGATTTGGTAGACGATTTCAAATTCTACAATTGGAATCTATCCTAAACTTTCAGGAAATTCGGCACTTATCCGTGCCTACGCTTCTCAATCGTCTTCATCGGAGGATCGAAGTCGAGCACTTGCCTGGACAACAGCTGGCGATACACTCGGCACAACAACAGGCCTATGTAAGTGACTTTTGGTAATTAGCTAATCGAATCTATAGTCAAAGGATTAACTTTAAAATTCTCAAATTTTAAAAATGTTCAGTGGTTCAAATACTTTTCTTTCCGCTTGGTCTTGAGGGATTCTCGTTTTTCGGCTTTCCCTTCACTGCTTATACCACACGAGCCTTACTCGCTTGTCTTATCAATGTTTTTGGTTTTATCATCGTGTCAAAGTTCTTCGTCGAAGATTACACAATGTTGAGAATCGAGAAAAAGGTTGGCGTTTGGAAAAGAATTGGAAAAAAAAGGAAAAATCAAGGTTAAACTTGTGTTTTTTGAGTAAAAATACTAAAAAAACAAGGAGAAATGACAAAAATTAGTCTAGGATTAGTTTTTTTTCACATGATATTTACAAAACACTTTTAAATTCCAGGAATTAGACAATCAAACCGTTTCCCCGTGTTGGTTGGCGCTTGGCATTTGTGTTTTGACGCGATCCTCACAAGCGCTTCTCTTATCAACAAATGATGTGTATGTGTTCAAAGAAAAGACATCAATGTTCTAAGAAAAAGCTTCAGTGTTGGCTCTCCTTATATTAGCATGATGTTCGGCTATTCGGAAAAGGAAACCCTTCAATACAACATTTTGATGATGTTGATTCAGTCGGTGATCGGTCTCGTTATCTATTTCGCATATATTACTCTAAATTTGGGAAAGAAGTGAGTAAAAAAATTGAATCTAAGGCTGAAAACAGTGTCTTTTTCAGTGTCTTAAAACAGTGTCTTTTTCAGGTTAGCGATTAGGACATCGATCCGTCTCTCACTTGCCTCATTCCTTCTATATCATGTCCTCACTTTTTCATATCCATTTTACAGCGATTATGTGGAGCTGGAAAATCCAGGTTGATTTGAAACTATAACTAAAGACCTATTCTAAAGATCTTTGCACATTTTATTATATGAAACAATTTCTCTGTTCCATTAAGCAGCGAATTCAGCCGCTATGAGTCGCGAGTACGGAGTTTGTGAGGTACGGAGATACTCTTGGTGCACCACACTGACCACATTCAATCCATTTCTCTATTACATTTCATATTTGGTGTTAATTGGTGGCTTCTTTCCAATTATTAACATTGCTTTAACGACGCTTCTCTCGAAAGTGATCGGTCCGAGAGCTCAGGTGGAATAAATACTATCATTTTGACCTAGTTTTACCTACCGTAAATACTGTAATAGTACTCCACCCTCATAATGACGGTGCAGACACTGGTTTCTCGACACTGGTTTATGCTACAACGCGCGCTTAGGTATCAAAAAATAGCTGAAATTCAGGGCTACTTTTTGATACCAAAGACGCATTTTTTGAAAGTACGGGTGCTTTGCAAAAAATGAAATAATAAAAAACTTTTGCGACTACCCGACTGTACGAGGGGGGTAAATACTATTACAGTATTTACGGTAGTATCGTTTTTGCAGTTGCTTTAGAACCTTATAGTTTACAATATAGAGAACTCCAAAAATCCATTTCAGGGAACGTACCAAGGACTCTTCCAGGTGGCCGGTTGCATCTCGAAGATGAGCAGTCCGGTGATGTTAGGGCGAGTGCTTTTCTTTCTTTCTTTCCCTCTCTCTCTTGACAAGCTAAGGTACCGAATAGATCAGTGGTTAGAGCAATTGCCGAATAAAAAGGTTGAGGCCTCAATCCCCTTCTGGGAATCTCCTTTTTCTTTCCAATTCCTTCACTTTTTTGCTTTGGTTCAACCAGTTCAACCTTGGATTTGATTATTTCAATGTCAAACTTTTCTTTTCAGTTATGCTTACGATATGGCCGGTCCAAGGTTGCTATGGATTATTCAGGAATCGCAAACGATTTTCGTTTTTCTATTATGGATCGCTTTTAATGGGTGAGTGAGAGAAAAACAAGAGAAGTAGAGAATTGAGAGCAGATAGGTTGTGTTTGTTTTTGAAAGCAACAAATTGATAGAGCATTATAACAGTATAAACAGCACAAAGCTAGGGGAAAAGTAAAGTGAAACAGTTTGAGTTTTTTTTTCTTTTCAAACTCAAGCTTTTCAGCCGAATGATCGGTATGTCGGAGCGAATCGAGAAAATGGAAAGGCGACAAAAAGTGACACGGAAAGAAATGAGTCAAAAAGCGGTGAATGTGTGGACGACGAATAACCATAAAACACGAAACGAATTTGTGAATATCAAATAAATTTATCTGCAATGCAAGGATAAAATTTCCCACTTAGAGGCAAAGATTCATTTAAATGAAACACTGAAAATTTCTCATAACTCAGTTGAATTTTTCTTTCATTAAAACAGATTCAAAAAAAGTTGTTTTCGCTAATATTCAACACATTTCCGAGATTGGACTGAAAAAGTACCAAAAAAAATTGCATATTTTCTTGATAGGAACTTTTTCATGTCATCTTTCTTATTTTAAAACAGTTAAACGGAAAAACAAACAGTTTTCCATTCATTTTCTATTCATAAATCTAATCAGACCAATCAAATCTCAATATTTTTTTGCCCAAATCTTCACTTAAACATTATCGTTTTGTTCTTCGAGTACTTTTCTCCGCAAACGCACAACTTCTAGCACGCTGACCCATTTTCCTTTTCCAACAATCTATTGAGATTTCGTACTTTAAGTTCTTCCATAAAGCTCTTTTGGCACACCGGCTGCTTAATCAGTTGCTTTGGCACACCGACTGCTTTATCAGTTGCTTTGGCACACTTTGGCACACCGACTCCTTAATCTGCTTACCCCTTCTCACTAAAATCTGCTATTCAAACTCTTTTCTTAACTTTTTGCAATCAAAAATCTATCACATTTAGCTTTGCACTCTGCAAAGCAAAAAAAAATAATGGAGATCTGTTATTCTTGGAATCAGTGATTCGTTTTGAGGAATCCCCAGGGAATGGCATAATTGCATACTGATCTTGAAACGAGATCCCTCCATAGAATCGTTCTTTTGCTTCTCTTACGCACCCATTTTATTGAAAGTAGTTAAAAACAAACCGATTTCTCATTTCCCGGAACTTTCGATTTTAATCTTTGTTTAAGAAAAATTCAAGAAAAGACTTAAGAAAAAATTTCAGTTTTGCGTGTTTTCTGGAGACTTTTCTTGTCAAAAGTTACTACAAATCTCTTATTTGTTACAGAAACTTCTTTTAAAAGACAGAAAAGACAGTCAATTCATCTATTTTTATCGATTTAGTCGTTCTTTTAACTAACTTTTCTTGTTTCCCATAAACGAAATGAGAGATTCATAATTAATTGATCAATTCTTAACAATATATTTTTTCTTGTATTCTTGAAAAAGGCGATTTCTTCGCGATGATGTGTTTTTTTTCATTATTCTAAGGATTCAAAGACTGAAAGCAAGAGAAAAAAGCAATTAGTGCCTTTTAAATCATTTCAAAGAAACTAGAGACTAGAGTTTGTTCAAAAATTTCAAAACCAACACATTCGCAAAACTTTTTAACTTCTTTTTTTTATTTTGTTTGTTATCAATTTGTTAATTGTTATTTTAAAAGATGTCATAAAACTTATTGTAAAGTTAAAATAGAGCGAATTCCAGCGGTTTAGCATTAAAATAAAATGAACAGGAAGGGAAGGAATCGAACCTGAGCAAAATCATGAATGATTGTTTTGGAAACAAGGCTCTTACTCGGCTATGGAGGCAGTGAAAGAAGCGCTATCTAAGGACTGATGATCTCAAACTTATTTGCTATCATCCTCTTGTTTCCGAATGATTTTGCAAAAACGGATAGCAGGATTGGAATCAGCGTAAAATTCAGCGTTTTTATTCATTTCATTTGGCCACCTAAGCCTTGTAATCTTCCCTTGTGAGTTTTTTTGTTCTTAGATTTTTAAAAGAATCACTTTGATGAAAAATCGTTTTGTAATCGGAATCTCGTGAGAGTTAGCGCATCAAATTTTCTATTGATCTTTCGGTAATCTTTCGTTTTCAAATTCTCTTTTCAAATTTCAATTCTGAGCTCGAATCTTTAACCCTTTTCAGCCCCACTTTTATGGATAATCCCACGTATTGCGAGGATCTCGTGCGCCCATTGACCGAGTTTTTCCTCTTCAAATTCGTCCTCGGTTTTCACTCATTTTGGTGCATTGTGGCCATCATTCTCTCCATTTACACGATCAAAATCTATTGGAAAGCTTATTTTCATATCAATTGCAAGGTGAATGAGGAATTTTGATTTACAAAACAACCGAAAAGTCTAAAAAGATTTATCCTTTGTCTCACGATGCCAAAAAAGGATTTAAACTGACTGACGCAGTAATTTTTACTAAATATTAGACTTCGGCAAACAAAACCAAAACCAAAACAGACCAAAACCAAAACGAAAACCAAAACCAAAACACCAAAATAAACCAAAACCAAAACAAATCAAAACTCAATTTGCATATAAATTAACATGTAAATTTAAAATTGTATAAGGCAAATTTTAATGTAAAATGCGAATTTGCCTTTCACTTTTTCTCACTCCACAAAATCTCGCGGCCGAAAAAAGGACCAAAACACGACCTCGAAATTTCGAAACAAAAAATAGCCTATGGGATAGATTTTTGGACGCTGATTTCAAATCTGCAAACAGATTTTCGCTAGCTCCTCCCAGTCGCGAGATATTGGCGAGTTTTGGTTAGTTTTGGTTTTGGTTTTGGCTTGTTTTGGTTTTGGTTTTGGCTTGTTTTGGTTTTGGTTTTGGCTTGTTTTGGTTTTGGTTTTGGCTTGTTTTGGTTTTGTTATGGTTTTGGTTTTGGTAGTTTTGGTTTTGGTTAAGTTTTGTTTTCCGAAGTCTACTAAATATTATTGCTATAAAGTGTAGTAAACACTTGAAAAAGAAAAAAGTAACTTTCTGGTAAAATTTTGAGCAAAAAAAAGTAACTTTAAGATTCTCGTGATCACACTTCTCTTTTTCTACATCGTTCATGGCGTAAGTCTGTCCACTGGATTGGTTCGTTTTTAAACATTTTAATGATTTCAAGTTATTCTAAAATTAATGAGACTTTTCAGTCATGATTTTTAAGTTAATTATTGAAAGACTTTTAAAATTAGAGCCGGATCAAATCTCTGTATAAAAGACGGTCATCAAATTAGTAAAAGGCACTTTTTTTTGCTACGAATCCTTTCTAGGCTACAGCTTTGATTCTGATTTTGTAAAAAATTGTCTATTCAAAGATCAAAAGATCAAAACATAAATCATTTTTGTTTGTTTTGTTTTACTGAAACAACGAGTACGCAAGATTCTAATTTACAGCAGGAAATATTTTGAGTTATTGGCTTATTACTGAAGCAATCAATAGTTGGCTTTGATGGCTTTAATGTCATTTGACTTCTTGAAGTTGTATATTATGTGTTGCTTTAGTAAAGGGCTATGTGCGGACTTTTTAAGTACACCAAAATCTAATCAGTACTTTGTGCTCTCGAAAACGCGCCTTTCCTAGCTCTTTTCCGGCATTCTTACGTTTACAAAGTACAAAAGTGCAAATTTGTTTTTTTGCAAAGCTCGATTCTGGGATCGAATCTTTTACCATTTTCAGCACTTTTTATAGACAAAATTTGTGCATATTAGTTTATATCAGAATAAAAAAAGCAAGTGACTTTATAAAATTTAAAGATTTATCACATCATCGTCTTCTCCCATCCACCCAATGGCTGCTCAGCTATGGTCTCCGCTCTTGGATGTCTAGCATTAAGAGGACCCGCTAATTTCTGTCTTTTTCTATTTTCTCCTCTTCATTTTGTGCTCTCTTTGGAAAGAATTGTTGCATGGAGGTTTGGGCGAATGTATGAACAAAAAGGAGCTGGCTTTGGGATCGCTTTTCTCGTGTTCAGTGTGAGTTGGAAGTGAGACTTGGAAGTGAGACTTGGACCCAGGCAAACCACGTTCTCAGTTCATTCAATCAAAAAATTCAGTCACAAAGTTGATTATCACTTTTAAACAAAGAAAAAATACAAAATATTCATTGTGAATTATCTTATAAATTTCAGTTTACTGTATCGTTGACGATTTTCGGTTACATAATGTCATTTGAACATTGGGATTCGAGTGGATGGGTTCCATATTGTACCATTGGAAACAAGTGAGTAAACGGAACTTGAAAAGAATGAAAACAAATGAAAACAAATGAAAACATAATATTATCATAATTTCAGATGGACAAATCCGTGGGCGACACTTTGGATGCAAATTTTCATCGGTTTTGACTTGTTCAGCATTGGGATCATGATCTTCTCGTATCATAAAGGAATCAGTCATCCAAAGTTAGTGAATAAAGTATTGTTTTGGTGTAAACAATGACGTAATGTCAAGATAGAATTTTCATAATCACGAGAATAAAACAATTTTTGAGGAGAGATCGCAGTTTCGATGTGACCATCCGTTTCGCGGCGATGGAACGACGAGAGACGAATGCTCTCCTTTTGCCTTTCTCAATCATGCATGGCGCATTTTATATCATTTATGAGATTGGGTATTTAGTTGGTGAGTCCAAAAGTTTTAAACCCAGTAAAATTAGCTTCAAGTTCAGGCTCAAAAATTCTTGTCTACCTTTTGCCCGACATCGTGTTCCGGACGGCGTTTGCGGCGTTAAATGTAAGTGTTCCCGTTTTGAATTGAGAGTTATTGAAAAGAGAAGACTGATTGCTATAGTGAACTGTCGATTTTGATCTTTGTTTTGTTTTGTAGATAGGTTTTGTATCAGTTTTATCGGGTTCACTACCCTTCCGAACCCTCGGGAGCTTGAAACCGTAAATTCGTAGTAAAGTTAGGCGACTTTCCTTCTCTTTCTTTCTCTTCTCTTCTCTCTTGTATTCCCCTCTTTCTTCTCTGACAAAAAGATACCGAATAGCTCAGTGATTAAAGCAATTGGCCGGAAAGCGAAAAGATCGAGGTTTCAATCGCCTCTCCGGAAATCTTTCTTTCCCATTCCTTACTTTACTTTATTACAGTAATTTGATTATTAGAATTGATTTTTACATAGTCGTGACTCAGCTACCGTATTCAGTACACAGTTGGTCTTACAGTACCCCAAGTACCGTAAAGTACCTTACCGAAGTCTCGTACAGTACAGTAAACCAACTACTTAGACTATCGTTGCATCAATTAACTTAGAGATAGGAAACGGAATAATCTATAAAGATCAAAATTAATCTTTATAGATCATTCCATTTGAACCAATGGTTTAAAATTGGACAGGGTTACGGTAACATTCTTTAGAGCGGCTATCAAATCAGAATTTGAAAAGTTCTGGTATCAGGCCTTCAGGAAACGAATTCTATGAAAATTTTCATGTTCTTCTTTGCAATTTAATATCTAACGCAAATTTGCAGACAATTCCCTATTACACAATTCTCTCGAATTTGATGTTGATCATTCTCTTCAATCGAATGTACCACGCGAAACGCCGAAAGTGGAATCACAACGTGAAAATGACGACGACGAAGAACGAGAAATTCATTCATTCCTCATATTCTCACGGTTGGTAGTTTGAAATTTGATGAAAATTTTGATAAAATAAAAATTTATTCATTTCAATGCTACCAAGGCAAAACGTACATGAATTTTAGTAAAAAAATGAAATAAAAAAACAAACAAAAGTTGCACTTTACGAGTTGAACACAAGAAAAACACAAAAAATGATCCGGGAAAAGTGAAATTTGGCCGTGAACTTTAAAGTTTACATTTTAAATCTTAAAAATCAAAAATACAAGCAATTCTAGAATACCAGTCTTCACGGGAAAACACCGTGTTTTATTCATTTCAAAGAAATGTTTAAGAAAATGAATTTTTTTGGGATTACAATGGGAAAATGAGGAATACTTATCGATAAAGTTAATGCAAAATAGGAAATAATTTTGATATATTTTCTATCATAGTTCTATCGCAGTTCGTTTCCAAGAGTCAAATTCAGATATCAAGATTGGACTACTCTAGCATTTTTTAAAGGAAATTCTGAGAAATGAAGCCAGGTAATTTGACGAGTAGTGTAAAGCTACTGCAACTGTAAGTATCGCTTGAACTTTGCGCTTTCTATTTAGCATCAATTTCATCGAGAAGTTTAATCAAAAAAAGCACCAAAGAGAAAAGAAATTGAACAAAAATCTTGTCGAACAATGAGGAAAATAACAAGATGTTTTGTTGAAAAGTTTTTGTTTTTTTTTTGTTAAATTTAAAACATTAAGTAAATCTAAAGCGAGGATTGGCAGTGAGCAGCGATTTTTTTTTCATTTTTTTCGGTGAATTTTGTTAATGAGCTTTGTAAAGAAGGAGAGGGAAATACTTATCGATAACACTAGCCGTTTTTATTCAAATTTTAGCAAACTGTCTTAAAAAAGTGATAAACTTAAACGTTTTTTACTAGTAAGTTGATTCTTAGTTGATTATTAGTTGATTATTTTTTGCCATGACGGAAGCGGGCAATTCTAAGACACTCTACACTCTACCCTCTACCCCAATCTTGCGGGACACTCTACCCTCTACCCCAATCTTGCGGGACACTCTACCCTCTACCCCAATCTTGCGGGACACTCTACCCTCTACCCCAAACTTGCGGGACACTCTACCCTCTACCCCAATCTTGCGGGACACTCTACCCTCTACCCCAATCTTGCGGGACACTCTACCCTCTACCCCAATCTTGTAATTGGGGTAGAGGGTAGAGTGTGTTCCTCTCAAGAAATATCGTGTGAAATCGTGTGAAATAGAAAACGGGTTACGGTAGAAATCAACTGAATATCTCAAATATCGTCTACAATTTGCACGATATTCAGTTTATTTCAACTGTACCACTTTTTCTTGAGAAGAAGACACTCTACTAGAGGCGGGCACCGGTGCGGTATACGGCTTTTCCTAATATCGCGAGGCCTCGCCAACTTTGGGATCCTGCGATCACTTTCTGAGAGCTCAGGAAGTGTTTTGAATTGATCATGCTCATGCTTTAAATACTATATTATAAATCAAAAAAAATTCTGACAAATGCTTCAAAAAAAGGCCCATTATTTGAAATATTTGAAAAACGGTCAGTAGAAATCGATAAGTAGAAAACAAAAATGTGAAGCAGTTTTTTTTGATTGAAAGCGAGATTTTTCTGGGTAAGTTGATGCAGAAATTGTATGGTTTTGCATTTTTTTTTGTTTTTTTCAATGACTCCAATTCGAAAATCTTTCCAAAATTGGGCAATTTCCTTTTTCTAAAACACACTAAACGGGAGTGGGACAAATGCGACCTTTTTTTTGCGCACCCGGACATTTGCGCACCTTTTTTTCCGCGCCTTGCCCATTAGCGCACCTTTTTTCGCGTTTTAAAAAGCTCTAAAAAGCTAATATTAACCAATTTCTATTCCAAATGTTGTTTTTCTAGGTAATTTGAGGGTGTCGAATTCAGATTTTGACATAACAGCGTGTGGAACCAATTTGAAAGACAAAACGGCTAGATCAAATTACAGAAAATTGTTGATTTTTCTCTTTGTATAACTCCGTCCGTTCGCTTCCACAAGCTCTGATATGCCAAAATTTCGATTCTACGCCCTAAAATTACCTAGAAAAACAACTTTTGGAATAGAAATTGGTTAATATTAGCTTTTTAGAGCTTTTTTAAAACGCGAAAAAAGGTGCGCTAATGGGCAAGGTGCGCAAAAAAAGGTCGCATTTGTCCCACTCCCCACTAAACAGTGTTTTCGGTTATTTTTCGATTATTTTCGGGTAGTTTGATATCAAAAGAAATTCGGTTAAACGCAAAAATGTTGATTTAAAAAACTCTTTGATTCATCACGCTTCGTCAACCATTTTCTTTTCCTCATCCACACGGTATTGTTTTCTGAAAAAGAAGAAAAATGCTTTGTTAATGTTGAAATTAAGGAAAGTTAACGTTTTTTTTTTCTTGAAAATTAGGTGACAAAGGAAAGTGATTGGACAGGCACACACAATCACTCGTTAAAAATCTTGGGTTTAGGTTCCTTATTAAAATTTTAGCGATTACTCAGCTCGCAAACGCAAGCAATCTGGCATACAGCTCTTTGAAGGGGTAAACGTATCCTTTCTAACACATCGAATACTCCAGTTATCCTTTGTAACACATCGAATACTCCAGTTATCTTAATCATTTCGTTTCCTTGCGATAATCCATTGAGGAATATCAAGAAAAGTAAATGATTAAGTGCACTAGAAAGCTTGCATTTACGTTTTTAAGCACAAGGTACAAAGTCAATGAACAGCTTGACAATTTCAGTATGCCAGATCACTTGCTTTCCCAACTTTGATCTACTTTGACCTTGTTTTTCAAGAGAGCACACAAAAATTGATGATAGCTATCAAATTTTCAAAAGAATTTCTTGTTTTTTAGACATACTCTCGTTTCGCGACGTTGTACTGATCGGATTTCCATTTCCCATAAGCTTTACACGAGTAAATGATGATGAATAACAGTAGGAGAATGATGATGATCAAGATCAATGGATACAACCAACCGAATCGGCCTGGAAAATTTAGACTTTTATTTCATTTCTCTGATCAATCTCCCCACCACACATCATGCTGTTTTTAGATTTTTGACTCTTTCAGCTCACAAATGTTTTAGCACAAGCCACTTTTTCTTTGATGATTTTTTTTTCTTGGGAACTTACATGTGTCGAAGATTGGCGTTTCGATTGGGTCTAATTGTGTGAAAGTTTATTAAGAGCTTGTGAAAAGAAACATTGAAACATTTTATCAATTGTATTCTATTAATTTTTTTCAATAGTGAACAAAGCTAAATTGTATCTCTGCTTAAACTCTATACCCTGACTGCTTTTTGACAAATTTATACTCAAAGTAAAGGCAAAATTAGGGTCAATCGCCTCTCTTTAACCGTTTTCTAAAATGTTCCATCCAGAAAAAAAGCTACCGTACCCCCTTTTTTGATATGAATTTGCTTTGCCTTACGGCAGCTATTCTGCTTCAGTTATTACGATAGATTTCTTACTTTAGTTTAAAATCTAGTACTACAGTTGATTGTAGGTTGATCTTTACCCACAATGAGAAGTGCTAAAGATTTAAACTAGTGTTTTTACTGTTAAAAGTGAATGCCTGAATTTAAACTGCGTTAAAAAGTCAAGTGAATGCGGTTACGGTAACTTTCTACAGGAGTGCTGTAAAAGCTTCAAAATAGCCTGCAAATTTATTAACTATGAGTTATTTTGACTCGAAAGAATCAACTCACTGTTCAACTGTAGTGAGATGTCCAATGTGACTTCATGATCACTCTCCGCTCCATCAACGATCGAAGCAAACGTGTTGTAGGCCCGACACCGATAAACGCCAATATCCGCTTCCTGTCAGTCCTTTTTTCCCCAAATTATCAACTTCTTTTTCCTACCGTAATGTTCTTAACGGTGAGTTGCTTGCCGCGATGACGCATCACGTATTTTAAACCCGCATCTAAAATTGACATACGAAAAAGTTTTATGATAGAGCTAATTGAGATTCTAGGTAAACTGATAAACGGCAAATTTTTGAAATTTCGTTTTAAACCAACCAATGGGTAATCCGTCTTTATACCAGACGACATTCGGATGCGGATAGCCGACAACCGGGCAATCGAATTGAGCAGAGGCATCCTGAAAGTTACAAAAAGTAAATGTGCCGGTAAAACCTTGATGTAAGCAGCAAAAGTAAATCAGCTAAGCTGTTGAACTTCTCCTTGCTTACAGTGCAAGGAGAGTTTTAAAAGTCTTCAGAAAAAAGCTATCGATAATCTCATTTTTTGGGACACTGAACAAAAGGACTCACCAAATCCGTGTAAATAGCCTGCTTGGCGACTAGCTCGTTCTCTTGATTGTCATCTGGCTTGTAAACTCCCCATGAGGTATTCGTGTGAATGACCGGATGAGCTAAAAATGAATCATTTGAAAGTTTATAAAATCTCAATCTTATCTCAGTCTATTTGGTTGTCAACGAAATAACCGGACTTTTTCACTAAAAATTTGTTTTACAAGTGTTGAAATGAAGCACGGTTTGCACCATTGAAAAGATCCAAATTTCCTCTGCAAAATTGTTGTTAACAATTTAGTTTTTTCGTTTTTTTTTCAATTTTCGTTTTTGGGGTTTTTCGGGAGCACAAAATCCATCCAGCTGTTTTCTATAAATTTCAAGTTATTCAGAGTGCCTCATCTAATCAAAATCCTTTATTCGAGAACTTTTGTTCAAACTAAAATTCAGAAAGAACGGCTGGACGGATTTGGTTGAAAATTTTGCTGAAAATAAAGAAAATCTGTCTTTATTTTAAGTAAGATTAATTCTTGTTGAAAAATTTGTCAAATGGGTATGTTTATGGGTTTAGTGTTTTAGACTACATGATTTGCAAATAGTTCAAATCGACTAGACGCTGATAGTTTTACTGAAAATGTGAAAAACTCAGAGCTTTATTTCGCGCGAAAATTTAAAATTCAATTTTGACAACTTTTCTTTGCACCTCCAAAAATGTTCAAAAACATAAGCTGTTCAAAATCTCTCAAAAGCCATTTTGTTGAGAAAAGAAAGATCTTTCGAATGAAACAAACTAGATCACATTTGGTTTAGCCATCATTTTTAAAACCCCAAAAAGCCCAGTTATTTAGTTGACAATCTAATAGTCAAAAACTCACAATAAGCAAACATGTTCCCGAAGACGTGATCCCCGTCGGATGTCGTAATCTCGCAGCGATACTTGGCCGCCTAAAACGTGAAACATTTAGGTGAATAATGAAATATTTCATTCAAACGTTTGCCTGATATATTCTTTTTAACTAAGAAACTAACTTTTTTAACTAGCTAGCTTATCCACTCTTTTTAAAAAAATTCTCAAAAACCTCACCTCTGTAACGGGAACATTGCCAAAGATCAGAATCGCTTTTTTTGAGTCATCATCGATATGAGCCTAAAAATTTCGATTTTCTATCACTTCAAATGATTTTTTTCACTCATGCAGGATAAGACTTTCTCATTCAATAAGAGGGAAAAATTGAGGTGTTATTTGACAAAGTGGAGAGAAGAAAAAACAACGATCTTGTCATTTTCCGTTGACTCACATAATGAAAACTGCCTGGCTTTTTGTAGCCCCGAGTCGCCTGAATGGGACAAACAGTGGGTAAGTTTACGGTTCCAGAATGAACTCTTTTGATTATCAAATGTCTTTCAACATAAATTCTCAGCTTCAAACCTCAAAGTGTTTCCGATCGTGGACGCGAACGAAACGCGCATTTGCGATCTCTTTGTGCTCTCCGTTGTCCGACGCTTGACACCACAAATCGTTCATCGGGCCTTTCAACGGCTTTTCCGGGGTTGATTGATAGCCTAAAAGTAAAGGGATTTTAAGAAAAAGATATCCAAAATTTTTCTAAAAGACCAACCTTTTCCCTGAAAGGCGACAGCGAGATTGCCAATGGCCACTGTCCCGGCCGCTGCGAAGGCACATTGAATGAAGAAAACTCCTAAAATTTAAGGCTTTCATTAATACCGTATTTCTTCGAATAGAAGACCGGGTAAAGAGTATCATAGCGTACTCCTACGTAGCAGTCCTTTTTAAAATTTCTTTTCTGCATAAAAGCTTTCAATGAAGTGCTATAGGGCTGGAAAATGACTCAAAAATACCACATGAGCTAACAGATTTTTGAGCCATTTTCCAGCTCTATAGCACTTCATTGAAAGCTTTTATGCAGAAAAGAAATTTTAAAAAGGGCTGCTACGCAGGAGTACGCGATGATACTCTTTACCCGGTCTTCTATTCGAAGAAATACGGTAATCCAGTATCCAATTGCTTTACCCCTTGTCTTTTACTTATAATTTCTCTTTTACTTATAATTTTTAACCAATAATCTTCAATATTTACCTATAAATAATAACCGCATCACTGCTTTTGATCTCTTTTTTTCGTTTTCAAAAAAATCCGAGACGAATCACCTCACCATGCGTTGAATGAGCTAAATTTTGAAACATAAACTAACTTTCAAAGATCAAATGAAAACAAATGGAAAAAAAAAAGATCAGAAAACGAAAGTAATTCTTTTTTGGTCAAAAACTTATCAATAAATAAATCCGATTATGACACAAATAGTAAAAAATAAAAAGGAAGAATTGAGTTTTTTTTTGCATCAAAAAAGTTTCAAAGAACAGAAAAAAATGGAAAAAGAATTGATTGGCAGACTTTTTGATTATAAAAACAATAAAAACAATTGTTAAAACAAATAAAAACAATAAAAACAATTGTTAAAACAAATAAAAACAATAAAAACAATAACAAAACGCTTATTTTAAGTTTAAAATGACTTAAAAGTTTAAAATGAATTAAAATGACTTGAAAAATGATCGATTTTCATTTAAAAAAAGATGATACATCAAAAAATTGCAGAAAAATTCCTGCAAATCGAATCAGAGAGTGGAGAAAATTTGGTAAAAGTGGAGGTAAAAGTTATCGATTTTGAGAGAATTCCAAAATCAGCGAAAATTTCGGATTCCTTTTACCAAAATCGTTTTCTTTTATGGTGAAACTGAGTCACTTTTGACATTTTTCTCTTTTTTACTTTTAAATGAAAAGTTGGTGAAGGGAGAAAAAGGCTTTTCTTTGACTAATCTTGTAACAATAATATATTATACTCAAAAAAAATTGGCGCAAACGGGGGTGGGACAAAGGCTACCTTTTTTTTGCGCACCTGGACATTTGCGCACCTTTTTTTGCTGGAAAAGGCCTTAGGAAAGGTCGTAGAGCTTCAAAAATATTTTCATATAAGGGAATCGTATGCGTAGATTCCGAATTTCGACAAAAATCAGACCTCGCTGACACGTCAAATTTGGGCTAAAAGACAAAAACTGCGGAAAAGCGTTAAGTTGCGTAGTTTTTGCCTTTTAGCTCAAATTTAACGTGTCAGCGAGGTCTGATTTGTCGAAATTCGGAATCTACGCATACGATTCCCTAGGATGGAAACATTTTCGAAGCTCTACGACCTTTCCCAAGGCCTTTTCCAGCAAAAAAAAGGTGCACAAAAAAAAGGTAGCATTTGTCCCACCCCCGAAAAATTGGTGAAGGGAAAAAAAGGCTTTTCTTTGACTAATCTTGTAACAATAATATTGTTACCACAATTATACTCAAAAAAAACTTTCGACTCATTAAATTTCGCAAATCAGATCGGGTAAAATGGGTAAAATTTTGCCAGAAAACCATTAAAAACAATTTTTTTGAGGTAATGACTTTAAGAAAAACAAAAAGATTACGCAATTTTGTTAAGATGATATCGCTTGAGGCAGCTTTTGAAAGCATTCAACAATGTTTTTTTTTAAATGAGAAATGAGAAATGATCTAAGAGAAACTCGAAATAAACACAATTTCCTCCACAGATTCTCCCCTTTTCCTCGTTTCTCTCAACTTTTAAATGACTCACTCAAAATTTCACATCAAACAGCTGTGAATTTTGGAGAAAAATGGGAAAAGAAAATGTTTCACAATAAAAAAGGTGTGTCAAAGTTGAAAATGGGGATTACCGATTACGAAAACCCTACTGAAAGCTGTAGATTTTGAATTTTGACATTCAAAAACTCAAACTGGATACCTTTTAAAAGTGAAAATTTAAAGAAGAATTCGGTTCTGATTGTAAGATTGATAGAATTTTGGGGAGTGAGACAAATGCGACCTTTTTTTTGCGCACCTTTTTTTCCGCACTTAGCCCATTAGCGCACCTTTTTTCGCGTTTTAAAAAAGCTCTAAAAGCTAATATTAACCAATTTCTATTCCAAATGTTGTTTTTCTAGGTAATTTGAGGGTGTCGAATTCAAATTTTGACATAACAGAGCGTGGAAATGGAACCAATTTGAAAGACAAAACGGCTAGGTCAAATTACAGAAAATTGCCGATTTTTCTCTTTGTATAACTCCGCCCGTTCGCTTCCACAAGCTCTGATATGCCAAAATTTCGATTCTACGCCCTAAAATTACCTAGAAAAACAACTTTTGGAATAGAAATTGGTTAATATTAGCTTTTTAGACCTTTTAAAACGCGAAAAAAGGTGCGCTAATGGGCAAGGTGCGCAAAAAAAGGTGCGCAAATGTCCGGGTGCGCAAAAAAAAAAGTCGCATTTGTCCCACTCCCGAATTTTGACATAAAAGCGTACACAAAATAGCATTATAGAAATATATTTGCTTTTTCGACAAGCGCTTCGATCATTTTCGATCGAAAAGTTCTCACCGGAAAACTTCTTTTTTTTGCTTTTTTTCTTTCTTTCCGCCAAAGTGTAACGCCTATGAATTCCAAATGGGCTCTGTTTTTCACTTTTTCGACAGGAACATTGAAAATGACGCAAAAATCCAGCTCTTGGGATTACCTTGGGATGACCTATCTTGATAATAAACAAATAGATCAAATCAAGAAATCAAATTTCATAGCAAATAAACAAAGCTATTACTCTTTAAAATTCAATCAGAAAAGCAAGAAATGAAAAAAAAAAAAATAAGAATAAAAAAAGAAAAAGTCGTTGTCGGAGACGATTTGATGGAAATTCGATACTTTTGAGGGGTGAGGGAAGGAAAAAACTGGGTTAAAGGAGCGGAAAAGACAAGCGAACCCTCAAAAATCTATTCCAATCTTTTTTTTTGTCTTTTTTTTTTGTCTTTTCTTTGAGTTGTTGCTCAGTGTTTTAAACCTAATATCTTTCTAAGACTTAAATCTAATATCTAATATCATGGAAATTTTCATGAGAAAAAGGAAAAAGTCGATGAAGAAATAAGTCCAATCTAGCAGTTGAAATGCAAAAAAAAAGGGAAACCTTAAAGAATTTTTGTTTAATCTTTCCCTTTTTCCTATGGGAAAGATCAAAAATTATCTTTCCCCCTTAAAGATCTTTCCCTTTTCCCCCTCAAGATCTCTTTGAAATAGATTCAGGAAATGGCTCTAAGTAATTCAACAATTCATTTTCTCCTTTTGAGTTTAGAAATTCAAAAAAAAATTGAAAACAAATAGCTAGCAAGACTTGTTGAAAGCTACAAGTTATATATTTAAATGAGAAAATTACGAAAAATAAAGTGAAAACAAATTGCGGGAAAATGAATAGGGAATTTCTCTTCTTTTCTTTTGGTGCAAATGGGAAATTTCAAAAAAAAAAAAAACATTTTTCCGGGCAAATTCAAGGACATCACAAAGGTGGATGTGTTTCTTTTTTTCAGACAACCGCCATTTTTCTCTTTTCACTATCACTATTTGTGGAATCGATACGGATTTGATTCGGACAATTTTTGTGGCATTTAGCACCAAGAAATCTCTTCGATTCGCACCAAAATCTCTGATTTTTTTTAGCCAAACAAAACTCAATCACAATTCGGACAATTTATTTGGGACAACCAAACATTTGTGACTTTGCCGAGTTGATGACTATTTTACGGTTTCCAAGCTTTTGCAGAAGCTCAACACTCAAATCCCCCACTAGATCTCATCGTCAGCTACATTTTCCGGCCCCACATCGATAGGTTCTGACAAGCGGTTCTCAAGATTTCGAGCAATTTAGGCGACGCGCATGGTGCACTACTATTAGAGAGAAGACGGTATATTATTCCAGGTTAGGCTAGTAGATCAGACTGATCTATTTCCCTAATATTTCCCGGTGAGCCGAGTTGATGACGATTTTACAGTTTCCAAGTTTTCCCAGAAGTCCAACACTCAAATCCCCCACAAGATCTCATCGTCAGCTACATTTTCCGGCCCCACATCGATAGGTTCTGATAAGCGGTTCTCGAGATTTCGAGGAATTTAGGCGACGCTCTAGGTGCACTACTATTAGAGGGAAAAAATCTTGCAACGCCCACCCTTTCTAGTGCACTCAATTCCACTTTATTTGGGACAACCAAACATTTGTAGCCTTTGCCCGTGTATTTTGTATTCAAAAAAGGAAAACACAACCTTTTCTCGCATAATGATTTCTGCACTAATTGCTTGGAATTGAAGCCCTAAAGTAGACAATTTGTCTTCGTATTAATCCGATACGCCAAACAGCATGTGTTTCAGTTTCCTGACAGCACAAAGAACATTGAAATTTGAGCTAACTAACAAGCTAACAGTAAATTTGAGCTCAACAAAATAAATATTTTTGGTATTTATTTTTAAACAAACCAAGCATTAATAAAATTACTTTTTTTTTCAAGCCGATTTATCCATTAATTTTAGTACAAAACCGTCAACAATCCGGCTAATCTTTTTATTCCAAAAATATTCGAAAATAAAACTCATAATCAGGGAAAAGAAGCAAGAAAAGAAAGAAAAGAAAGAAGAAAGAAAGAAAGAAAGAGAGGAAGGAGGGGGGAAAGAAAAGAAGAAAAGAAACGGTAAAAATAAGACTAAATCCGTGAAATTTTCCGAAGTAAAACTGATAAAACAAAGTAAATTCGACAAATAGCTGGCCAGGTTTTAGCCAAGGAGAAACGATTCGGAAAGAAATTCGGTTTTAAAAAAATCGTTCGTTCGATTCGTTTCCCTTTTTTCCAGTTGAAACAACAAATTAATGCATTTATGCTTATGAGGGTCTAGTTTTTTTTTTTTTTTCACTTTTCTCTCTCTTTCTCTTTTTTGATCATTGCGAAATTTCGAGAGGGTTTTCCCTTTTTTGTTGTGTGTCAAGTGAAGTGGTGGGTTGAGGGGAAATATTTGCAAATTTAAGGGAAAAAAAAAGACTTATTTAGAAGGACTTGTTTAGTAAAATAAATAGTTTTTTGAGGGTTAAAAGATTTGAATGTTTGATTTACAAGTTGCAAGTTGTAAAAATGAATGTGGCTCAAATTTAGCCAATTTCCGAATGCTCAAATGAAAAGAGTTTTTAAAAATTGCTAATGGTTGAATGATTTTTAGAGATTTATAAAGTTTTTGAATGTTTTT